AGAAAGAACATGTCTGCCTTGTCTGTAAAGGCTTTGAAGCAGAGACTGTATTTTCTAGTGTAAAGTACAATGGAACTTCTGATTTGTGTTAAGGCCTTTCAGTGTTACTGTGATATGAATAAATAATAATTAGTAATAGATGTTTTGTCTGCTTTCTTTATAAAGTATAAGTCCATGAAAGGAAGCTAACTTTTCCCTGTAAGATGAAAAGAGCTTCAAAGGTCAAATTTTAGCTATTATTCTAATGAAAAGTGGGATGCTTCTAAAGCTGTTGGTAAAGAATGTAGTTTCATAAACTTCTTTCCCTTCTTAGCTACATTGGAGTTCTTACTGTGATTTTAACATTTGAGCACACCAAAATATTAAAAGCCCACACAGCTTGCATTTTTCCCCTTTAGTTGTACTGTGAAGATAGCATCAAAACCTGCCCCAGAGCCTCCAATCACTCTTAATTTATTGTAATAAATAAAAAGGAGGAAGATTTATGAAAAAGTCATTGAGAAACTTATGCAGTGGGAAATATTACCTGTATCTACTGAACATCTTTTGCAAGCAACTTTGTTTTGCACTCTACAGAAAGTCAGCCAAATTAAGGCATATTGCATACTTTTTCGTTGTTGTTGTTGGTAATGCTCTCATAATTAGAACTTTTTTTTTTTTTTTTTTTTTTAAGCAAGATGCAAACTTAATTGGAATCAATTCCAACAGTCCCACCATGTCTGTAGATGGAACCAAGAATAGAAAAAAAAAAATAAAATTATTAGGATAGTCTTTTATTTACAGCTCAGTGAATTGAAGGAAGCAAATTTCTGTCTCCAGTGATATCACCTCTTGCCTTATCAAGTTTTGATTTTCTTTTGAAATTCTCAGTTCATGAACAGAAAGAAAAGGTAAAGGATAAAAAAATATGCATGTACTTTCTAAACTGCTTTATTATAGATAAGTTTTAGAGTTAGAAATAAAATTTAATGTATCTGACAATGAAATAGGAATGTATCTCGAGAGAAGGATTTTGGAATAATTCATAAAGTAATTCTGATGTTTTGCGGTACACATACAGTTGAGAATTGTCAGTGAACTGCTTTAACATTTAATTGATTTTTATTTCCTCATTGGCTATACTGCATAGTGCTTCACATCAATAGTAATTTTGGAAATGAATGACAGGAGGGACTTACAATACCCTTCCCTGGGCTAGGAGGAATACAAGAAAGAATAAATTGTGCCCTTTGAATGTACACAGCAGTAAAATGCATACTGAGGTACAATTATTCTCTCAATTTCTCCTGCAGTTCTGTGATATCCCAGGGTTCTTAATGGGAGAAGTAAGGAATTTGGCTATTTCTTTGGATGTTAAAGGCAGGTCAAATTAGAGATTAAAAAACAGCAACAGCTTATATATCAGATGTTTCTGACCCCCTCCTTCTTATCATTAAAGTCTTTTATTATCTTTGGCTCCTTGATTTCAGCATTCTGGTTGCTCCTCTGCTTGTACCTTGTTATCTAAAATCTTTATTATTTTTGCTAAATTGGTGAGTGTAGGATATCTCGGTATCACATCTTTCCATATGCACACACTTTCCCCAACACTCTTTTCTGTTTTCCTACCATTTTCATTAATGGTAATTGCTAGTTCACTTTCTCTTCCTTTTCCCTAAACCTGAATGCTTGCTGTGAGAAACCTGCTGTAAATGTCAGCACATTTCCTTGTCTCAGCCTCATTTTCTTATGCTGTTTGCCAGCTCTGCTTATATGAGAGCTATTGTATCTAATGCTCTAAAGCTCTCTTAGGCAGATCCTCATCAAATGTAAATTTACTTAACATCATTGAAAGCATTGGAGCTGAAAAGCTGTCTTTCTGTATTCTTTCAAATTGCAATAGCTGCATAAAATGTAGAATCAGAGAGTTAATGAGGTTCTGGAGATCTGGTCCAACCCCCCTGTTCCACGCTGGGTCAAGTACAGCAGATTGATCAATGTCATGTTCAGACAATTGTTGTATATCTCCAGGGGCAGAGACTGGCCAACCTCTCCAGGCAACCTATTCTAATGTTCAGTCATACTTACAGTAAACTTTTTTTTTTCCTTTTTTTTTCCCCCTTACATGAAATTTTCTGTGTTTTATTTTTTGCCTTTTGCTGCTTGTCTTTTCTGTGGGTATTCCTCTTTCCAGGCTGGCTCTGTCCTCTTTCCTCAAATATTGATAAACATTTGTAAGATTCCCTGTGCATTTCTTCTCCAGGCTGAATTCCTAACTCTCATCTTTTCCTTATATGACAGATGCTCTGATCCCTTCATTATCTTTATGGCCTCTCACTGCACTCTGGTAGCTCTATGGTCTCTTGCACTGGGAAGCCTAGAACTGGACATAATAACTTCAGATGTCTCTAATCATTGCTGATGAGAGTGGGAGGATCATCTGCTTCAAATTGTTGGCAATGCTCATAAACAGGGTATTACTGTTTTTTGCTATGAGGGCACATTGCTGGCTCATGATCAGCTTGCTGGCCACCAGGGGCCTGCAGGCCCCCTGCAAGGCTGCCTTCCATCTGGTTGGCCTCTGTACTGGATGGAAGAAGTGGTGGTGGTGGTTCTTCAGCTTCCAAGGGTTCAAGGTGAGGCTGAACACCTTGTAGTTCTCCTAATCTTCCTCCGTGTCATTTTTCAAAATAAGAGTGGTCACCCTTTCTCCATTCCTAAGGTGATGCATGAAAAGTAACTCCTCGAATCTATATTTAAACTTATAGGTATTCATCTTTTATACCATTGCTGCCGATTGATGCATGTACATGAGTCTGTTCCTATCAGTCTATAGAGGGCCTCATCTGCTTGGTCTTTTTGGTCAGGTGGCCTGTAGCAGACCCTCACTATAATATCACCTGTCCCAGCCTTCCCTTTAGTTCTGACTAAGCTTTCTGTCAGCTCCTCATCCATCCCCAGGCAGAGCACCATGAACTACAGCTGGTCATTAACATAGAGGGCAATGCTCCCTCATTGTCTTCCTTGCCTGTCCTTCCTAAAGAGCCTGTATCCTTCCCTGAGAACACCATAGTCATGGGAGTCATCCCACCACATCTGACAGCCCTGCAAGAATATGCCTGTTTCTAACTCATCTTTTTGCTCATAATGTGTGTTTTACTGTACAGGCTCTTAGGAGGGACACCCCAACATGTTTTGTTCCTAGAAAGTGTTTGGAGGATTTCTCCACAATGGTGTGTTGTAGGCATTTCCTTGCTAACCTGTAAGTGCTTCAAAAGTCCCCCATTTCTTTTGATTTTATGATCCCTTCCTATCACCCCATCATCAGCCCATGCTCCTTGTTCAGCAGCCCTGTGTGTCACTCCTTCAACAGGGCTGCTGGGAAGGAGTCTCACTGCCTCAAATTTCTTCTCTGTAGAATACCTGAAAGCAGTATTTACTATTTATTTTTCCATGCCATAAGGAGGCACTGAATGAGATGAGACTGAAGATATGTTTATACTATGCCCAGTACAACACGTGAAAAGAGATCTTAAAGTCTAGTTCTTACAAAATTTACAATCTAAACCAGCATGACAGTCAGAAGTCAGGAGAGCAAGAATAGGTAAACCACCCTGTCTGCTCTCATGCAACTTGAGAGCAGCTTAAATTTGGGTTAAAATTCAACTTTCCAGATTGCCAAGTCATTTCCATATGCAGTAAATCATGTTTGCCCTATGAAGTATTTTCTGTGCTAATACTTTTCCTGATGAGTTCAAAATGCCACAAGTGTCAATATTTATAGTTTCTATTATTTACTACATTTTACTGCTTAGTAGAGCTCACTACCAACAATTTATTTAGATATTCTCTTTTTACATTCTTTAACTGATTCCATAGTAATTCATTCTATCTTCTTTGATCATTCAAAATAGTTCCTCTACATCTTTTTCTACATCATATTCTAGCTGGTGCCTTCACTGCTCAGACAAGTGAAACATCATTAATATTTTAAAAATTATTTCTGTGCTTGGTGTGGTCTACATATACCATGAATTGTGGGACAGTCTTTCTTTCAGGTAAGAAGTATTTTCAATTTAGGATTTATATGATGTTAACAACATTTGACTTGGCTGTGGGTTTATTAATGAAAATTTAATAGACATCTCCCTCATTAACTGATATATTAAAGTGTCCACATTTTTTCTTCAAAAGTTTAAGGCTTCTTCATACTGTCCTCTGAGCTGCCAAAGTGTCTGAAAGAAGTCCATTATATATAATACAACGACAGTTCAAGAACCTATGCTACTGTAAACTCATAAACATTGAAAGATAGCCCCTGCTTCATAAAGCTCCTTGTTTGATATTTATTCTCAAAGGCAGTGGTACTAGCAATAAAGCCCATTGTCCCTCCTTATTACATTTTCTTTCTTGTTGTTCTCATTAGAGTTTACTCATGTTTTTTACCTTGCAGAGTATCTCACTGTTTTCTGGCATAAAAATCGTAAATCCTAAATCTTGATTTCTGCATGATACATGCTAAAATGTGTTTCCTAAGCTTATTTGCTAGTTTTGCTAATATCAGAGTACCTTTTTACTTCACTTCATTATCCCCATCTTTTTCCTCAACAGAATTGATAAACAATATGTGGCTTCAAATTTGACTGTAAGGACTAGCAGTGCTTATCTTCATATGACAGCAGTACCATTTACTAATTACTTACTACTGCATTTTGTTAGTACTTAGAAATATGGTTTTGTGGATCTGTAATCTCATGTAATGCAATTATAAGCATATGACAAAATAATTTGATCCTAAGGACCTCTGTTCAGTAACAACAGTACCAAGTTTGCCATTTCATGTTTTTCCTAGTGATTCAAGTCACTTTTCAAAATGGAAAAAAAAAAATGTTAGTTATATTTTATTTTTGATAGAAATCACACCCAAAGCTGACCTATTTCTCATTGTTATACACTCCTTCTTTTGAGGAGTTTTTTGAGGTAGTAGGTATGAACATAACAAAATAGTATTATTCTGACATACTGACCGTGCCATAAAAATAAATAATGTATTTTGAGTAGATTGTTATATTCACAGATATATTAGAGAGATCGTACACATAACTGGGGGAGAGGGAAGGATAAATAAAGTTTTGATGCATCTTTTATTGACTCACTATGAAATAGTGCATTCCTAGATGAGTTCAATATAATTTACAAAGCTGAAAGAAAGTATATCTTTATGTTATTGATTTAGATGTTTAAGTTCTAATGTTATTAGTAGGACAGACTAAATTTTTCAAGTAATAATGAGAATTGGCTGTGTACCATAGTTACAGTTATTACCTTAGTAATGCATTGCTACTGGGCTACTCAGATGTTAACTATTTTTTCCATGAAGATAGACATATTTGAAAATTTTGCCTTCAGTAATAAGAAAAAAATATATATTAAAAAACCCTATGATGCCTTATTTTTAATAATAATTTACTTTTTGCCAATAATAGTGTATTACACAGTTTCTGATAGTTCTGTGATTCTGTGAAACCCATCAGAATAATACATTTTCTGGTGAAACTACTGGAAATGTTGTGTCAGGAACTGGTGGTAAAAGCTGTAACATGCTTATAAGTAGATTACCTTAAAGGTAAAAATGTTAAAAAAAAATAATAAAAAAGAGTAAAGGAATCTCTCCGGCTTTCAGTCCAGCTTTGTTTAAAAGTGAAGCTTAACTTTAAAGTTACCATTGCCCTTTGACCAAGCTATAGCAGTTGGAGTTCAGAGTGAAAATGCTTTCTGATTAGAGTCTAATAATTGTCTTTTTACAGCAGTGAAGAAAATGCTGAAGAAAAAACCTAAGTATTAATCCACAAACTGCATCTGGGCACTGGTTCAAGACCTGACAGTCTAAGTTCTACTCTTGCCTCTAACCTGTGCTTAGTAAGTCATATGTCCATTTTAATTAGCAGCTATTGTCTATTTTATTTACTTACAATGAAAAATAATTGTATTGGGGTGGTTTTATGATGCGTTTGTTCAATACCTTTGAAATAGTATTCTAATTTTAGTTGAGGTCTCATTTTCTTACTCCAGAACAAATAATAATGACAACTAAGAACTTGTGTATTTCATGGATGAAAACTAGAGTGTTCATATCTCTAATTAGATACTAAAACAATTTATGTATCATTCCAAATGCTGAAAAAAAATAATTTTAAGTACTTTCTTATAGACTTTTTTTTTTCTTCTTCTTCTTTCAACAGTTACACAAAACAAAACCTACATTTTGTTATTGATGAGTGAGAGTGATGAGTGAGAGCAGGAAGGCTCTGCAGGGGGATCTGGATAGGTTAGATGCAGCCCATCCATGAGATTTCATGCCATTCAACAAGTCTAAGTGTTTTGTGCTGCACTTGGGTTATATCAACCCCATACAGTGTATAGCCTTGGGGAGGAGTAGCTGGAGAGTTGACTGGAAGAACAGGAGCTGGGGGTTGCTGGTCAGCAGCTAACTGAAAAAGAGCTCTCAGCATGCCCAGATGGTCAAGAAGGCCAATGGTATCCTGGCCTGCACCAGAAGTAGAGTGGCCAGCAGGATTGGGGAAATGATTGTCCCTCTGAGCTGGTGAGACTGTACTGTGTTCAGTTTTGGGCCCCTCATCACTAAAAGGTTATTGAGTTGCTTAAGTGTGTCCAGAGAAGAGCAACAGTGCTTGTGAAGAGACTAGAAAAAAAGACACATGAGGAGCAGCTGAATATGGGGCTGGTTACTCTTGAGAAAAGGAGGCTGAGAGGAGATCTCATCACTCTCTACAACTGCCTGAAAGGAGGTTGCAGCAAAGAGGGTGTCAGTCTCTTTTCTCAGGTAATAAAATGCAAACACAAGTAATAAAAAACATCTCAAGTTGTGCCTGGGGAGATTTAGATTGGATATCAGGAAGAACTTCTTCACATGGAAAGGAGGAGCTATCGGAACAGGTTGCCCAGGGAGGTGGTGGAGTCACCATCCCTGAAAGTGTTTAAGAGATGTGTGGGTGGAGTTCTTAGGGGACATGGTTTAACTGTGGACTTGTAGTGTTAGGTGGATAGTTGGACTTAATGATCTTGACGGTCTCTTCTAACCAAAAAAATTCTATGATTAATTGATTGAGGTACCTTGGTGACATGGGTGACCAACAGTAACAGGTAACCCACACGTCCCTTCCTGTCTCCTATAAGAGATGAATATAGAAATATAACTCAGTCTAGTGAAATATTTAATTTCTGAGGAAAATAAAAATCATATAATCCTTATTTCCTTATACATGAAGTGAAGATTCTAACAAACACAATTATTGAAGATGTAATTGTAAAATGAAAGCATGTGCACTTTAGATATTTTCTAGTTTGATTGGCTATTTTTTCAACTTTTTTCTCTATTTGTACTTGCTGAATTGGTTAAAAAAGAATGCTCAGCAAACATAACTGAACAAATTGCACTTCCCTCAGCTGAACTGTATGAAAGACCCCAGAGACAAACCAAACAAGCCTAGCATGGTCCCACAGGAAACTAGAAATTCAGTTGGCCTTTTTAAGACTGACTTCTCTGGGGAAAAAATCTCTGCAGCTGCTTTTAAATGTTGAGGGTTAAAAGCATTTTTTGTTGCTGAGAATGCACATTGGAGCATATGTAATGCTTTAATGTGCATTTTAAAGTAAAAATACAATACATCTTTTCAGAACATTTGGAAATAATCACAGACTTGCTTCTGAGATTGAATGAATTCAGAAAGGTACTTTTAGGCAGAGCTGACTGACACTCAGAATTTCCCTTCTGGAAGGAATTTTGATATTGCAGGAAAGGTTTCATTTTGAATGAGAAGAAATATAAGAACTTCTATTTTCCCTTCACTGGAACGGTAACTGTGGAAATTGGAAACACTTTGCTCCCCTTTTTTTTTTTTTTTTTTTTTTTTTTTCCATAAGGAAATTTGTAAATGTCTACATTTAAAAGATTGTTTCTTGGGCTTTTGGTAGGTGTTAGAAGAACTCAAGGAATTTTCATAACCCAGGAGAATCCAAAAGACTCTAAAAATGAAGAATTAGATATGGATAATGATGATTAGATTTACATGAAGTTTTATTATAATTAAACCTTTTGGAAAAGGGATTATGGAGTTCTGGGAGACTATAGAGAGCAGGTAAGCTATGTCTCTTCAATGACTAATTTTCCCCACTCTGCAATTGATCTTACCTCATTGGGTGCATAAAGGAGTTCTTCTATTGATTTCACTTTTAAGGGAAGATTTTGGTAGAATGTACTGCTGGAAAATCTGTGACTGCCTTTTTATTACCCATCCTGAAATTTGCATCCATGAACACCTTATATGAAACAAATTGTCCCCCTTAACCACTCCTCTCTTTGAGACCACAGTCTCTGCAGTGAATCTGCATGCAAATAACCTATTTTTAGCTTTGGTATTTTGCTGTGGAAATTAAAGAAAGCTGCTGGCTGAGGTGGTGGAGAAGGGCAAGAGGAGCTCTTTTCACACCTTCTCTGTCACACTGTGGCAGCACAGCTCTAGCATGCCATAGACCTGGGATGGAGAAATGGGAAGGATGAAGTTAGAGTCTTAGGAAGCTTGGGCCACGTGGGTAGGGCCATTGCAGATACAGTGATATCAAAATAGAATTAGTACTGAAGAATCTTAGCATCGATTACACACAAATCTGTGATATGTAAAACGGTGATACTACTATGATACTGATAAGTTGCCCATCATTATTTGGCATAGATATTTCCCATTCTTTCCTGTACTATAGTTCATCTTCAGCAAGTAAGCAATACCTGTGATGAACAATTTTTGGGAGCATCTTAATTTTGAAAATAGTCTTCTGGGAAAGGGGACCTGCACTCAAGAGAAACTAGGCATCCTATTTCTTGGCATGTGCTTTAATCAGTGAACGGTGGTGACAAATTGAGGTTGTTTATCCTCCTTTACCTGATGAGTATTTTAACAAAGGGTTTTTATTTTTTCAATCCTATATAGATCATCTGTGTGTTGAGGAAAGTGCCCATCAAAATATTTTAACCTTAAGTTTCTTATTTATTTTCTCTAGACAACACCTCACTATGCATAAGAAAGTGATGAATTATCCCAGAAAGGCACTAATATCTCTTTTGTGAGGTTGCTGAAGAGGCCTTCATTTAGGTTCTCTCATATATCCTTCTGAATAACACACGTCTTAGCATAGCTTATTTTTATTGCACGTGCTCTGAAACATTTTGTCTAATTTCTATTTCTGTAACAGCTGTCCTGAATATAGATCAACAACCTGAAACACTCCATTCAGTTCTGTAAACTAGCAGTATTCTAGGAAAATTTTAAATAACATATTTTTGAACATACAAATACTTTGAATTCTAACAGGGAAGAGGGAATTTGCTCATTTTAAGTCTAATTTGAAGCAGTAATACTTGTTAATGATGCAAATCATAACTCATCTTCAGAAAAAATGTTTGGGGAAATCCTAGTAGGTATAATGTATCTCTCCTTAGAGAGTAAAGTCATGCTGAATCTTGAATCTGTAATGGAAGTCATAATGAATCTTCCAATACTGAAGTTGTCTCTTCACTTTGCTGTACTCTCTGTGTCTCAGACATATCACATTTACCTTATATATCAGATAGGATTTTGATGGTCATTGACCACCATAGCCTAACTTTAGGAGTCAAAAAAATTGGCATCAAGTCTAAGCAACTAATTATGCTCTCTGCATAGTTGATTGCTAAAGATAGCTATTTTCAAAACATATAGACTCTTCTCCCAGGTCTCTGAAGTAGCTGTACTGAACTCAGCTTTAGCCTTTGGTGGGTCTGCTGCAGAGCTTTCTGGAAACAGCTGTGTCCAGCACAAGGCATCCCCTGTCCTCTTCTCACAGAAGCCACCCCTGCAGCACACCTGCTACGAAAACCTTCCCATCTGCACCTGATACAAAGGGCATAAATCAGTTGACTGAAAATAGAAACCTGGTGTCATCTGATGTGCCATACGTGGCACGCCTGATTGTCCACATGGAGACAGGAAATATGACAGAGACCCTACAGAAGAACCTCTGAAGTGACAGCTAAGTCAAATCACTAGAAGCCTACGTGTTGACAACTGAATTGCACTCCTGAATTTCTTGGCGAGATCATTTACATATCTTTTTACTAATTTGAAGAGATGAGGTGTTCCAATAAATCTTTTCTGAATGTCTATAAATTTCTGGAATTTCTAGCCTAGAAAGATGCAGTGTAGTACAAATGTTTTACACTGTAACATCTTGGCTAAAGAGAATAGAAAAATACATAATGGTGAAAGCGAAACCATTGGGCCGTAAGTAAGTTACTGGTGGAGATACTCAACGCTGGGTTCAGAATTCATGTTATTTAATGTATTCTTTATGATCCTGACACAAAAAACAAAAATGTAATGAAATTTGCTGATGACATAAAAGTGAGAGGAACCATAAATGCAAAGAAGCACTTGAATATTAATTGCATATAATTGGCTTGAACAAGACATGACAAACACCAGCTGAGGTGACACTCTTGTTTCTTGAGCAGTAGCCTGTTTCACTGCAGTAGCCAGTGGCAGCCTGCAGCCATCAGCCAGTAGCAGCAATCTTATCCTCCATCACATGGTATAGATTGAATCCAAGTATGGTGGGTTATATTAGCCTTGAGAAAACAACAATGAAGTTCTATGTGATTTTAAAATTTATCAGACATACATTAACAAATCTTCCTTCATTGTTATGCCCACTGTTTATGTATACTTTTTAGGTTTTGTAGTAGTTTAAAGCTGTTAGTACAATTATCAGTCCTTGACTGGTTCTACCTATAAGCCAAGCTAGTGTGCCTTCACAAGAAGTTGGCTGGAGTGTTGTACTGGTATAGATGTAGGCACAAGTTACTG